TCTTAGTGTTAAGTAATCTTGTCAAACTATCATTTAAAAGCTTTCAGACTCTAGTTTTCATATTTGGTGACTGATTTTCAAAAGAAATGACAGAGCAATAGATAGATAACGAATTTTTCTTCATTTGTGATGTGTTGGCAAACCGTAATGCACGCCCTGGTTCTTTCTGTATGTTTTTATGTGGGTTTTAGAGGTTGAATTCAAATCAAATATTAACATTACTGGGCAAACCACTACTGAATAGGATGTCTACTTCATAAATATTATGGAAATATATGATTGCAATCGCTCAAACCATATATGGAAATGGGTGTGTTAGGGCTGCACGATTATGACAAAAAAATCATAATTGTCGATTATTGCCTTGAAATTGTAATTGCGATCAAAATTTACATTGAATGATATTTTGAACAGCTTTATGCCATTGTTTGAAGCGACTGCATGCCACATTGTTATATCAAAATAAACCAACTGAAAACTCCTCCTGAAAAATTTTCATTGCTTTTATATAGCATTAAGCCTCAAATGACAAATATAAAAATTAAAGAAACCAAACCAAAGTAAAAAGTATTATAATGTTACACTATCTAAAATTAAAACACTGGGGAAAAGACCCTTAAGATAAGCTGTAGAAAGAAAGAAAAAACACATCTTAAGCACACAGAAAAATGTAAGTGGACTTTTTGTAATTGTGCCTTTGAACGATTACATCATTGTGGCATCCATAATTGTAATCGCGATTACAAATTCGATTAATTGTGCAGCCCTAGGGTGTGTCCTAATATGGTCACCAGTGGAGCCTGGATGTCATCTAGTGGAAAGTTTGGTGCTGTGCCCAAAAAAATTGTAGGCTACTGAAAGTTAGAAAAGGTCACAAAATGTTAAGAAAAAATAACCTGTCATTTCGGGACAAATCGACCCGTAACATAAAATGAGGGTTAAACTGGTAACTCGTGAGTTTGTTAGTCTGTTGAACAAATCAGTGGCTCATAAATATCATTTGTTCGTGAATCGGATTACGCTGTTTGACCGGTGCATGTTTGATCTACTAATAAGAACCAGTGTTGTGCCGAATTTCGACTCCCTGACAAGTCAGTATCTGATTGCCTAATCCTAACCCCACCCCTAATCCTAACCCCTCCCCTACAAGTAATCTTAAACCTATTAATACTAGGAGGGGGGGAGGGGGGGGGGGGGGGGGGCAGAATTTGCCACAACACCGGATTATGAGTAATTTCTTCGTGACTTCGTCATGCTGTATGATTGTGTTCGTGTTCACGGTACACCGTCTTTTGCTCGTTCACATTCAATATGGACTGTAAACGTACATTTACAGCTTATGTAACTTATTTTTCTGTACAATGGACAGTACTTTCATCACTGCCAAAAAGCGGTGCAAGAAAGACTGGATTTAATATGAGAATTCGTTGAGTCTTTTAGACTCAAAACCTAAAATGTGTCTAATTTATTGTCAGCACTTTATTTTAGAGTCCTGCTCCCCATGTACATACTAAGTACTTATTACACTAACTGGGTAATAACTAGGTAGGCTACTAACCCTGAACCTCCCCCTAAACCTAACCTTAACCCCATTACCTTATATTACCCAGTACTTTCTAAGGTAAGTACACTGTAAGTGCACGTACTGTAAAATAAAGTGTAACCAATTTATTTTTAAATCGTTGTGTCCAGTGAATAGAATGCATGTTTTTTTATCTTTTTGTGCAAGCGCAAAAAGCAAACTGCATTGTATTTTCTTCCTCTCTCTTTTTTTTACAATAGGGGTCAGTATACTTTTTTCTCAAACCACACACGGTTGGAGCCCGATCCCTCCCACTCTCATGTCCAGAGGCTTTCCCCAGGTGTCCAGAGGTCGTCAGAATGTGTTCAATTAGCTTGTGTAACCAGAAGCAGGGCGGACACTTAATCCCACAGCACCTGCTGCCTCTTCACAGGTTAACCCCAGTCAGCATGTCACTGAGGGAGGCAGGATATCACACGTTACCCCAGCTCAGTGGCCCTGGATTTACTTGGCCGTCTGATTGGACGTGATCTCCAAGCTGGCCGACCGGCAAGCAGCTGGACACCTAATTAGGCGGCCGAATAAACCCAGATGAAGTTTTTCAGGTGACCCGCACTCTCTCCGCATGCTAGGTTTCTGCCATTTGTACAGACCTAATTAACACAAAATAAGTGCGCCTGATTACGAGTTTGAAGAGTCTGTACTTATAAAAAGTGGAAGTGTTGCAGGGCCATCAAATAACTGCCACCTGTGTCGTTTCAAGGGCTACGGGCACTGCTAATTCAAGACAAATAGGCAATCATAAAATGCATGTAAAATTGATTAAAGATACATATTAAAAATTATGTATATATACGAGAGACCGAAGCTAGGTGGATTTTTAAATAGACACATAAATAACAATTTTAAAAATCCTGCGTTATTGACCCAAAAAAAAAAAAAAAGGCACACTGTATGGGGTAAGTTGTCACACTGGAACGTGCCATTTAACAGCCTATTAAAGGCTTCTGAGGAAGAAAACAATAATTAGACAACAAAAATGTAAAAGGTACAAGTTTTGTCTGAATGTATGCCCGTGTTGTGTTCACTTGTTTACCAAACCGCTATTTTAATTTGTATGGATTAATCTACAAGTCAAAACTAAAAAAAAAATCCAATCCTGTTTTAATTTATACAATAGTCTTTAAAAAAAATCAAGTCATAAATGAATGTAAAAATATATCAGACATTCTAGTAACTGAAACGCAGCCCTTAAGACAACTTCTCTATTGGAGAATTTTAAGAGTGCACTAACAGTCAGCTCAGTTGATTTGTCAACATTAGTATTGTTAAAGTACAAGCATGCTAAAATTATGCGGAACTGAAATTCTAACTACCATTTTTGTTTTATGCCATTACCTAGAGTAGACAATCTGTACATTTCAATGAAAAGAAATTGTATAAATTAAAGTCATTCAGAAGTGAGAACCAGCCAGTCATTGTAAGTTTTAAACTGCTAAATACGGCAACTAACTCTAACTAACTTCAAAGTAGACTAAAAGGGATTGTAATTGTATATCGTAAAAGGCTTTGTGACAAGTTAAGAGAAGAATAACACCTAGGGAGGAAGACAAGTGACCTATGCAATGAGCTCCGCAACTTCACATGTGGAAGAGCCTCTATAAAAACCCAGGAAGCAAGTTGAAATGTCAAGCTACTTTAAATGTTTCTTCTAATAAGTCGCTAGGTTGGAGGAGAAAAAGCACGATTTTCAATTGACAACACAGATATCCCATGTTCTACAAAGTGCGCCCATGATGGATGGTTCGGGTTCAGTAACACCTTTTAAACCAGAGCGATAAAGACTGCAATGAAAGACGCACTGTCTCTTTCTAACAGCGCAGGCAGCCACAACAATGACAGCTATTAAAGCTCGCGACGAGGTCGGACTGAAAGAGCATGGCATAACATCTCTGTCGGCAACCAATTCTGTTGTGGTAAATGTTTTAGTTCTTCTCTCTCTTTATCTAATTAATTCTCTCATACCCGGAGCAATGTGGATCATTTGCGATGGGGACAGGTCAACGCGACGCATAATAGAGACACAAAAGGAGGAAGAATGCGATGGAAAACGTTGAATAATGCAATCACAATTCACAACGTTTCACTTAATTTTCTCCTCAATCAAGTGTTCCGTGCGTTTCACCTTTCTTTCTCTCCATCCATCCCCCCCCCCCACCCCTTTTTTTTTTCTCCATGCAGCGCAAAACTGAACTGATTGCGCAGGGAAATTATAACCCTGGTAAGATTTTTTTGTTCCGTACCGCGGCAGCACCATTACAGATGAATTAAATGAGAGAGAAGCCCTACGAAGCACAGTCGACACCATCCCACTCCCGCCCACGCCGGACCCTAGGATCACACTTTTCAATCCGGTCCACGGCTAAAAGCATTCATTCCTGCGTTCAGGGGCCCCGTGCACAACCGTGCCTGGAGCACCTACAAGAACGCGGTCATCTCGCCGGACGGGAAATTTCTGTCAGTAACTAGCGGGATATCAGGGATTCGTATTCATAAAGCCTTGAGAGAATGATTACACTTACAGTAGTTGCACTTAGGGGTCCACTCAAAAAAAAAAATGGCACTCTGGGGAACTTCAAGAAAAGAAAGCTTTTAGACTGGTGGGGGGAGATTTGACATAGTCATTTCCCACCGAGACAAGCGACTCCAAACATGAGTCGCCTGGGATTTACGTGTTCGATTTATTAGTTCTAATTGTTTTTCTTCATTATGAAGGGGGGGGGGGGGACTTCACAACACAGCCGTTTTAAAGCGGTCACAATCTCCCGTATTGAAAATTGTCCTTCAATCAGCGCTGAAGTGCTTGTTAAAACAGATGCATTTTCTTCAACCTCTGCTCTATCATCTGAACAATCGTATTCCCACAGGGAAGCTTCTCACTTAGTAAACTGGCTATAATGAATCATTTTCAGAATTAGTTTTTGTTGTTATTGTGGCATTAGTGTTGGTGTGGTGGTGTGTGCTTCGAACCAACCTCCGTTTTTTTTTTTTTTTGTTAATGCTGGTCGACTGTGGGAGCTGGCTAGGTAATGGAAGCTGAACTCTTTCATTAGGCTTTTGAGGGGGAAAACTGCTAAAAGGGGGCATTAGCATATTCTATACTTTCTCAGCCATTTAAAAATGCCAGTAGATGAATGTCAACTGTGAATATCTTAATGTTCTGTCATCTGTTTTGACAATAACCTTTCACTTTCAGCGAGAAAAGACAATACAATACTATAATTTAAATATTAGAAATTTTATTTTGCACACTGCTTAGTAGACTTAGTAAAAAAAAAATCAAATATATAAAAACATTTAGTGTAAGTGCATAAAAGACATCACATTTGTAATAAATAAAACTTTAATATAAAAAATGATGTATAAAAAAAAAAAAGAAAAAAAATCTGAGTCTCTCAAATCACACATCTGTACTCACACATGCAATATCATACGCATCCGTGGCGCATGTGAAAGTTGACAACGTATTCGGCGTTGGTGCGCTGCACAGAGATGGCAAAGGGCTCGAAGGGATGGAAGGTGAACGCGACCAGTCTCCTGACAGCGTGGTTAATGGGTCTGCCCAGCAGGCCTGCCTGGATCTTAAATTTCAGCAATCCAGAGTCCCTCGCATAGAACCTGCAGGAGGGGAAAAAAGCAGTGCCAGTTTATTATGATGGCAAATGGCATGGCGACAGCAAGAAACCCGTGTATTTTACAGCATAAGCGAACCGTCAGAAAATTATGGTAACATTTGTCAGTTTGAAATTTTTGAGAGCTCTCAGGAAGTGTTTTAAATATCGCCTGTCATGGCATGAAACTACACATCAGTGTTTCAAGATTTAACAAGGAAGTTGATGTAGACCTCACGCTGGGCCTCATTTTTCACTATACTGGGAAAGTGGGCGTACATTCTGGTCTCTTCTGCAATTCACTGTCTTTGTCAACAATCTTTAGACTGTGCGTATGTCTACATTTAAGGATAAAATCAAACTTAATATTCAGGAATGCTTTAAAAGTAAAAAGTAACCACAAAATGTTTTTTAAATAATATTTCAATAAAAAGTCCACGACTGTACTGCTTAACAGAAGGGACTCTTAAGAGCTTAGGGGTACCGTATGGGATGATCGCCACAGGTCTTTGGCCGCTCCATGACAGACACCCACTTGTCATCGTAGCTGAAGAGGGAAAGATCCAGATACGGGCTACTGCTGTAGGACTGAGCACTGATGGGCAGCTGACCGAGAAGCCTTCTGACCGCTTCTGTGTGCCCTCCGTATTTGGCATTCACGATGGTGTCTTTGAACCTGCGCACAAACAAACCAGTCCATAAATAATGTGCAGACTAAGGAACTCACATTAATTAACTCATTAATTAACTCTTTCCCCGTCAAACATGGAATTTTTTTCCGGGTATTCGTGTTTTCACTGTTATGCGGTAGGGGGCGCTATTACGCATCTTCTGAACGAGTACTGAATATGCTGATCAAAACAGGCGAAGATGACGCAGAAACAAGCTCTCTCATATGTAATCATATGCATTTGTAAAATAACGCGATCACCAACATTAAACAGCATATAAATCAAAACTGCCTGACGTTACTGAATGAAATGTCGACCAAGGACGGCTATAGGACTGTGCAAGCTTTGGGGGTGTTGATGGACTCGATCTACTCCATCTGTGATTTGATCCTCGTTCTGAATCCCATCCAGACGTAGTCTTTGGCAAAAACATGATTTTCTCAGCTTTTTGCTCAAATTGTTGCTTTTTTTTATGAAAATTACCCACATTCAAGTGTTGATTAAAAAAAGAAAGCTAGAATAAAACGGTTTTTTATTTGTTTGTTTGTTTAAAAGCAGAGGGTCTGTTCTTTCTTTTGAGAAATGGAATGTTCAGATATTAATACAAAATAATATTCTGGGGGCCAAAATTTTTTAAAAACTGCTGGTGGCTGGCAACTTTTCTTTTTTTTTTAAGCTGGCAGGCAAAGAGTTAAACAGCAAAACCCCTTCAGTGTGGGCGGTGCTACCAAATGTAATGGCAAACAAATAGAAACCAAGAAACAGCTGCTTAGGAAAAAAACCTTGGATCAAAATGGAAGAGAGAGCTTGTCACCTTGGTAGGGGGAGGGGAAATATTACAAGATTATTACAAGTTTATACACATTTTATTACTTATTTTTATTACTTGTAATTTATACACAATTACAAGATATGATAGGTAACAAAATTAATTTAGTTTTGATAAATACTTTTGTCAGCAATAATTTGAACAAAAAATGTCTGGTGAACACGATGTACACAACTGTTGCTGTCGGGTCAGTTTTTTTTTAAAGAAAATGTTATTTTTTCAGCAAGGATGCGATATATTGATCTAAAGTCAGTGACTGTAAAGTGACATTTATAATGTTGCAGAAAATTGCTATTTCAAATAAAAATTGTATCACAGTTTCCACAAAATATTAAGCAGAACAATTGATTTCAATAATGTTTTTTGACCACTAAATCAGCAAATTAGAATAATTTCTGAACGATCATGTGACACTGAAGACTGGAGTAATGATACTGAAAATTCAGCTTTGCATCACAGGAATAAATTAGATTTTAAGGGTGTATTCACACCAGGAAAGTCCGATAGTTCACTTGCTTTGGTCCGGACCAAATCTTTTTTTTTTTTTTTTTTGGTACGGTTCGCTTTCACACTGCTCTTTTTGGAAGTGAACCAAAATTTGAAAACAAAACCACAGGTGTGCTAAGGTCGTCCATTCATTGGACAAGGATTCTCAAGTAGGGAAATCAGGAAGTGCAAAAAAGGCTCAGCATGGAGATATTTCGTACTGCAATATTTGTTATTTTACTAATTTTGTGTTATTCTGTACAAACGCAATATGAAGAAACTGCGCAGAAGACGGATGAGGTATAACGTTTTCATTCATAGAGAGGGGCTATGTTCACACATTCAAATAATGAGATTCTTATTGTATATACTGCTAACAAGTGCTGTCAATGTTAACGCTTGCGATTAAGTTTGTCCAGTTTAACGCAGCGTCATCCTTGTATTGTAACTATCGTTACATTATATGAACTGCAAAAGCTTTTTTTGCATCTATGCGCGATTAGACTAAAGAGAACGCTCTGTATGTGAATGTCCTGATGCACACACTCATTCATTCATTCATTCCATTCCAATGATGCACACACGACGCGCAACAGTATCGTGTGGCCAGACAGCGCGCCGGAATGGAATTCTCTTGAACAACAATTACACAAACCATTATGCCAAAATCTCCGACTACGGAAGCCTGTTAACTCAAAGGCGCAGTGCTTTCCTGCAATTGGGTCGGTTCATGTTCACACCATAAACGAACCGTACCAGAGTTCGTTTGGAACCGTACCGAGACCACCTCTTCAGCTGGGTCTCGGTTCGGTTGTTTGGTCCGCACCCGAGTTCGATTGCTGTATTCACACCTGCCCAAAAGGTCCGCACCAAGGGGGGAAACGAACTAGAGTTAGATTCAATCGAACCAAACAAGGCAGGTGTGAATACACCCTTAAATACATTTTAATAGAAAATGGTTAATTAAATTGTGATAATATTTCACAATATGCAGCCTTGGTGAGCATAAGTCTCTTTTGTTTCTTTCAGAAACAAACACAAACCAAAATCTAACTAACACCAAAACTTTTGAATGGTAGTGTACAAACAAAAGTCTGCCTGCCTCACTAAAGGGTTTTTCTCAAAGTTTCAGAAACTTTTTAAAGCAGCCTGCATTTGAGACATAATTAAAGTTTTTGATATCAATAGGTGTCAGCATGAGCGAGTTCTCACCCAATATGTAGAGCTGCACATTTATACTGAGTCATTGTGAAGGCCTTTTGTTAGAAAAAGTGAGGCCGGCCTCCTCTTGCTCGACCATCAAATTGTGGCTTGTGAATTTGGCAATGCTTGATATATCTCACCTGCGTTGTACCTGCCGGGCAAAGTTGTTGCTGGAAGCAGAGCAGGGGAACTGCACAGCCTCGCTGTGGAGTGTGGCGTTACGGAAGAGGTCGCAGAAGTTTTCAAAAAGCTCCAGAAGTTTGTCAGAAGTGTTCTCGAAAACTGCAATAACCTCGGTGGTTAGCATATTGTAAACCACGAAGAAAGAGGGCTAAAAATGAAGAGGAGAGGAGAATTGAGACGGTAGTTTACACATCGATGGTTTCCTTTTTCATAGAAACTATCGACTACACAACCGATCCACCAAACATGACTAAACACAAATCCCACCCGTTTAGAAATTCTCAACAAAACGATGACAAACATTATAGTTTTACAGACAAGGCTTAAGCTAGTCCCAGACTAAAATGCATGTTTGAGTTGTCTTAACTGAAAGCAACTTACACTGACAAATCTTAAAATATATCAGTGCCACTGTTTTGTATCAAGATGCTCACCAGTAATGTTTCTCTCTAAGGCAAGTTTATAAAAGCTACTTAAATGTCCTAATTGAACTAAGGCTTAATCCTGGCTTAATCTAAGTCCTGTCTGTGAAACCGGGCCATTATCTTACACTAGCAAAGATTAAGCGATGACGCCAGCAAGGGCATATCTGATTCAGTCTCTGGTTACTCTAGTGCATGTGTTTTTTGTTTTGTTTTTTACCTGCGAGGGGTCGGTGACCCTCAGTGTGACTACATCTTCGCTGGTGTACTTGATGAACAGGTGATGTTCGTCCAGGAGCTGCATCTTCCACATGCGCAGCTGCCTGAGCTGATCGAAGAATTGAAAGAACCGCCGCTTGGCCGTGGCACTGCCGTCCTGCTCTGCCCTCCTCCACAGGTACACCAGGAGACGGTGCTTCAAAGAGTTTATGGTTTTCTCCTTATAAAGGCGGGAGAAACCGGGCTGGCCTTCAGCCTGGGCCTCGGAGTAAACCGCAGACAGCGTCAGCAGGTCATCCTCGTAACAAAAACGGCCGATGGTGCGCACGTCAAGGAAGGTTCCTTCTGGTGTCACCTGGGCAGGAGGAAGGATCGAAAATTAATATAGTTCAATATTTTGGGTCAATAGTAATAAAAGGGGGGGGGGCACTTTATTTCCCATTTTTATTTGTACAAACAGTAGAGAAATGACAGAAAATGATGGAGAATGGATTGGACCAGTCAAACATACCAAACTGGGTTGAAACCTGTCGCCCGTCTGAGCAACATGGTCTGACAAAATAAATGTGCAATTGTCAATGCATGGCTATGTCACACGTTTCTACCCCGATAGTCATGGCACGAAAATACTATTAAAACTCAATTTGTGAAAAATACTTTTAATGCAATACAGTGAATGACAACTGTGTGTGGTGTTCAATTGGCTGACATTATGGCAGTTTTGTGTTAAGTGATTAATTACACCAAAATAAAAGATAACATGTATGCCTTCATCTACAAAAACATTGTTTTTGTCTTACATTTCATAATGAACTCATTTTCTGTCGGTTCTTTTTCGTGAACTGGAATGTGTGCAAAGAATTGTGAGTGACTGATGGACGTGAAGGATACACATGATGCATTCTTTAAAATGTGACACAAAACGAAGACTGCCTTGCAAGTATCCTTCAAATTGAGATGGCTTTACACAGAGCCTGATGACGTAACAGGCGAGATATGCAGCCTTCCATTTGAGAAGCATCCATACACTCACCGGCCACTTTATTGGGTACACCTGTTTAACTGCTCAACAACGCAAATGGCAGCAAGCAACTCAATGCACATAGGCGTAGACATGGTCAAGACGATCTGCTGAAGTTCAAACTGAGCATCAGAATGGGGAAGAAAGGTGATTTAATTGACTTTAATTGGCAACGATGTGGCATCGTTATTGGTACCAGACAGGCTGTTTTGAGTATTTCAGAAACTGCTGATCTACAGGAATTTTCACGCACAACTATGTATAGGGTTTACAGAGAAAGGTCTGAAATAGAGAAAATACCCAGTGATCAGAAGTTCTGTGGGCGAAAATGCCTTGTTGATGCCAGATGTCAGAGGAGAATGGCCAGACTGGTTCGAGCTGATAGAAAGGCAACAGTAACTCAAATAACATTACAACAGAGGTCTGCAGAAGAGCATCTCTGAACGCACAACACGTCGAACCTTGAAGCAGATGAGCTTCAAGAAAACCACTCCTGTCAGCTAAGAACAGGAAACTGAGGCTACATTTTGCATGGGCTCACCAAAATTGGACAATAGAAGATTGGAAAAACGTTGCCTGGTCTGATGAGTCTCCATTTCTGCTGCAACATTCAGATGGTAGGGTCAGAATTTGGCATAAACAGCATGAAAGCATGGATCCATCCTGCCTTGCATCAACGATGCAATCAAATTGCATCAAATAAAGTAAGGTCTAACTGAATACTGTGTATTGAGGTACAGATATGTGTGCATGCCTACTTTTCTTGGGCCCCATTGACCTTTTAAATGCCACAGCCTACCTAAACATTTGTTGCTGACCATGTCTTTCCCTTTATGACCAAAGTGCACCCATCTACTGATGGATACTTCCAGTTTCAGCAGGATAAAGCACCATGTCACAAAGCTTAAATCATCTTAAACTGGTTTCTTGAATATGACAATGAGTTCACTAAACTCAAATGGCCTCCACAGTCTCAAGATATCAATCCAATAGAGCATATTTGGGATGTGGTGGAATGGGAGACTGTACCATGGATGTGCAGCCGACAAATCTGCAGCAACTGCGTGATGCTATCATGTCAATATGGACCAAAATCTCAGAGGAATGTTTCCAGCACCTTCTTGAATCTATGCCACAAAGAATTAAAGCAGTTCTAAAGGCAAAAGGTGGTCCAACCTGGTACCAGCAAGGTGTAACTAATAAAGTGGCAGGTGAGTGTACTTATCTCTTTAATAGCATTTTTGGTATTTCTATTTGTCCAAAATGTACAGAAATGGCTATATATATATATATATATATATATATATATATATTTATATATTATTTGAGTTACAGTTGCCTTTCTATCAGCTCGAACCAGTCTGGCCATTCTCCTCTGACATCTGGCATCAACAATGGGTACAAATGGGGTGATGGGACTGGCAATAATGACAAGCCAAATTCAAACCTGTGTCGCCCCCCTTGGGCACCATGGTCTGACAAAATAAATTATGTTTGATAAACAATTATGTCAATGATATTTTAGGGGTGGATAGATCAGAATTCTCTTTCTCTCTGTATGAACAATAGAGAACAGACAGGGAATAAAAATAAGATACAAATACAACATATTAGACACAGTTCTGAGAGATTTGTGGTGTACAGTGAAGTCTTAGACGCAGTTACTCTTACCTGGAAAACATGAATGGTCTGTTGCTGCACAGAAAGCACAGCCAATATATTTCTGTACAGGTACAGTCCTTGATTGTGTGACAGGATGATTTTGTCACACTTAAAGGTGCGTGTATCACACAGTCGGCCCGTGTGCAGGTCTATGATGTGCAGAGAGTAGTCTTCAAGAGGTGAGCGTGGGTTTGGTGTCACAGATTCGTTGTTTCTGTACACCTCGAAAAAGTGCGGATGAGGTTCTTCTGGCAAGTAGGCAGCAGAGCCGACGATCACATAGCGGCAGTCGTCAGTGAAAAGACTGCACTCTCTATTCAAGTGCTCACCGTTGGAGGCCACGTTGGTGACGTGGAGCAGGGAGAAGAAGCGTTCGAAGAGTCTGCCTCTGATGTTGAGGGAGCGCTGGTCGTTCCCATTGGCCAACGTTTCTCCCTCCTGACCCTGGAGAAGATCTTCAGCGGCTTGGCATCCCTGGTACTCGTAGATTTCCAAGGAAGTTTGATCAGAGGAGAATGCAATAAAGCATCGTCCGTCAGGGGAGAACTTGCGCAGGAAGCAGGGTGGCTTCTCTACGTTCACCACTGTGAAGTTGGGGAACAGGTTCTGGTGGAAACAGCGCACACGGTACCAATGAGCCCCGAGTGGACCGGAGCAGATCCGACGCCTCTCTAGCCTGTAGACCACATTCTGGTTCTGGATGCGTCTCGGCTTCAGAGTGGGGAAACCATCCTCCAATGTAGTGTTGCGGTGAGCAGCCATAATAACAGCGTTACCACTGTAAATGAGAAATTAAATAATCAAGTTAATAAATGCAGGGGAGCAGATCTCTCTACAAAATAGTTTTATATAATACTAATAATAAACAATTAGGCTGGTAGGTAGCCATACTAACAGCTGTACCAATGCAAATGAGAAATTAAAACATTATTGGAAGAGATTAATAATGAAGTTAATAAATGAAAAGCAGAAAGGGCAGATCACACGACAAAATTACTTTATATAATACTTTTTATGATGCAAAATTATAAACAAATAGACAACTTGACAACCATGATGACAACTTTACAACAGCAAATAAGAAATCAAGTTAATAAAGGCAAACCAGATGTCCCTGCATAATCGTTTTATATAAATACTTTTTATAATACAAAAAATGGACAGAAAGGTAGCCATAATAACAGCTGTACCATTGCTAATGAGAAACTAAGACGTTATTGGAAGAGATCATAATAACTTGATAAATGCAAAGCAAGTAGAGCAGATCTAACTTACCTACAAAATTACTTTAGGCTAACGTTATATAAAAATAAATAAATAAACAGACAGATATTCCTGCTATGACTCTTGTTGCTTTTTCGGGTTTATTATACTTAAAATAAGCTCTTTTAAAAATTAATCAAAATAAAACATCAGTATAAGCACCAAAACACACGCAGTTGATTAAGTTATGCATCTCTTACCTGGACGTTCATTTAAACACTTCTCATGTTCATATCTGTGCAGCTTTAACTATCTGGGAGTACAAGCATACACAAAAGACAACCTATACCCGCATAAAATAAAACATAAGAGAAAAAACGTTTGAAAGGGAGGTGCAATGCGGTATAAAAGTTTCTTCAGGAGTGTAAGTTTAGAGATCTGTTCGCTGTCTAACCGGCGGAAGTAAGTGGCATCGGCGAGGTCTGCGCATAAACAGTGACATGAGGTGCACAGAGTGTCAGAGCGCCCCCTTCAGCAGCGGCGAAACAGCGCAACTACATCTCTGAGACTGTGGGTGTATATACCCTGCTAATGTTAATCAGTTTGATTTACCGAGTAGATTATTACTCTCTGTTAGTGACGACATAGGCTACAATAAATTATTATCTGCTGATAAAAACCGTCTAAACCAAACTAAGCTGGTTTGCTGGTCTCTCCGCATGGTTAGATAGATCAGGCTGGGAGACTAGCTGACCAGCTGAACGCCACTAATTTAAACTTGCAATTTTGGGCTGATTTAGGATGCTTTTTCAGCAGGACTATTGGAACATGCAGAAAATAATCATAAATTGCTTGTTGAGGATTGGGGTGGTGAGAGCACTAAAACCCTGCTTAAACCACCCTAAGCTGATTCGCTATAGGGATAGATTTAAAGAGGTTTTGGGCACTTTTCAAATGGTCTCACTTGATTTTGTCCATGGTTTTTTTTACTGTTTGTTGGGAAAACAGAGTCTGCATCCCAAATCTCATACGCTCTTGAGTATGAGATTTGGGACTTCATGACTGCTAAAAAAAAGTATGTTCTAGTATGTAATCTGGATGTATAAATTCGCCATGCTATCATTATCATGTGACCTACCAGTGTCATTTATGTTGCTTCACTGCCATTCATAAATCCTCTCATGTGGCCTTGTGGGATAGTAAAGTGTCAATGAACACTTCAGAATCTCAGCGGAAGTAGTAGGTCATCAGGGTACTTTTTGCCTACTCTTTTATGAGTAGCTACTGTGAATTCAGACATCACCTAAGCTACTATATAGTGGGAAGTATGCAATTTTAGATGCTGCCAGAGACTAGAGAGTGTTAAGGATTAGAGTGAGTAAAAACAAAATGGCCACCAGCAGACGAGACATTACCTGCATTGCCATTTTATTGATCATAATCACAGCACTAAACATCCGAAATGCATTATTGAGAAGGTTGTGAAGTTTCGTCAAGATGGAGACATTGACCAAAAGTAGTTTCAAAAGAGATGCATTTTTGTTTTGTTTTTTATTTTTCTTCAAGGTACAAGATTTGTATGTAGGCTATTGGTAATTGTGTGTGCCTGATGTGTTATTGTTCCTGTAGTTGTACAGTAGTTATTTAATGATGGAGTTGAGTTGTTTGATTGTTTAAGTTGGAACATCTGGTAGTACTCACAGATAGGCTATTAGATTACCTGATGAGCAGTGAATTGATGAACATAAGGCTTTTAGTAGAAACTTTTATTTCCATATTGTAAAACAAAAAAAGAAATGTCTTTATTTTGTGTTATACTCACCTAAGCCAAACATCGGTTTGACCTGGATGAGACACCGACATTTTTTTATTTTTTTTGCTGGATTATTAAATTTACTTTTCAGGTATAGACATTTCTTGGTCAGGGTTTGGTTGGCGAAAGGTATAACAAAAGGGAAATTTAGAACTGATAATTAGGGACAAAGCACTTCCCATTTATGCACCCATTAGCAAAGTACACCGAAAAGGCAAAGCAGTGACAGATGAGGTCATCTCACTCTTTTGTCTTCCCTTTCTGCCATAGAAAAAAATGACGAATGCTTAAAATGCCTTTTCACTTCCACGTTTTATGGAGCATTTGGACTTTGTAAATACACTTTTAATTCCATATTCAATAGGCAGCATGCTGGTCTTCCAGAAAATGTTTAAAATTATGATATTAACAAACCATTTTTAAATGTCAATTGACAGGGTAGTTCCATGGTGATTAGGACAAAGGTCAATAAATCTTTACAGAACACCACTAATGGAGGTGCTTTTCTGGTACGGTTTGAAATTATGATTGTGAGGTTTTTTCTATTTTATTTTTTAACTTTTTTGGGTTTTCTTTTTTGAAGCAAATATTCCATAAGTGAGATCAAACAATAAAAATCAGGTACTAAAAAATAATTTAATTTTTTTATTAATTAATTAATAGGTTAAAGGTTAATTAAAGGTTATTTAGCAAACTATATGTGTGTATATATATGACCCTGAGTGAGCTTGAATGTAAAAAAAAAAATTGTAAACCCTATTTCAGTGTTTCTACTTCAAACGTGTATGTTTACTGCAGTGTAACTTGCTAATTATTTGCAAGCAATTTCTGAGTGAAAATTGTAAATCCTACACCATTTTTTCCTCCCCCGTGTACATAAATATACTGGCTGATTCATACATACATGCGTTTGTATGGCCGAATAAGATTTTACACTCAATCTTAGTCAGTAGTTCTGATGTGGAGCTCCAAAAAGGGAACAAGAGATAGTCTAATTTGCCCAAATTCGTTTAGTGTTCTTTCTCCAAAATGGATTATGAGGGCTGAAAAAATTGAAAAAGAAAAATGAATAAGAACTGAGCACAGAAGGAAACCTGTGTGCTTGGCCTTGAGAGTATGATAATGGATTTGTACCCAATTATCCTCGACCCAAGTATGTAGAGACCCAGTTGGTAGATTATATAAGTTGTAATCTTCAGTAATGGCAGGTTGTGAGCATGAAAGGTATTCCAGTGCAAAAACATGGAAAAAGAACATTAGAGCCTTCCGAATGCTACGTGCCAGCGTTTTGAGTGCACTCTCTACCCATGGGCCAAAGCGCTTCGCTTAGGGGCCAAAAACATGGCAGCTATAACATTATGGTATAGGGTTTGCATTTGAGATTTTTCCTAATAATGGCCTTTCATTCAGCTCTTTTCTCTTTGTCAAGGGTCATCATCTTCCCTTTCAGGTTTTGTTTTTGGTTTTTTACATCCCCCTCCTCACTCTCTGGCAAAATGCACGAGGAAGATTCATTTCCTCTGCATCCAGAGCCCGAGTGGTAGATGGAGGGTCCTTAAGGCTGGTTTTTAGACTGATATGAGGGCCTAATGCCCAAAAAGCAAAACAAAGAGCACAGGGAAATCACAAATTCTGTGGTAATGAAACTTTCACTGCCGATTCCAGACTAGAAAATGGCCAGGCCAGTGGAAACTCCAAGTACACTCAAACCGCTGGCATATAGCCTTAATTACAAACCTATTGCATGCTAGCCGTAATTGGAAAAAGCAGTTTTAAAAGGTTGCTTTTTGTGCGGAAGAAGCGAAGATGCTACTTTTTTTTAACATTTCTGAAAATCTACGTTGCATAGAGGCTGTGTTTGACATTTAAAAAGAAGCTTTTACCTTCTCAATATTGGTACTCAGCAACATAATAGAATGTTGCCGTAATTGTAGCTTCCTTCAAACTTTAGGAGTTTTTTTTTTTCAAGTCACAATTCTTGATGCATTTATGTCCAATTGATCACATATTACAGGCATCTTGACTTATATTCATGCATATTCCTTTCTCAAAAAAAAAAAAAAAAAAAAAAAACACAATTAAATAAATCTAATAACGCAGATCAAAAAGCCCATCAGGGAGCTTACAATGACATGCTTGAAAAAAATCTATTTCTCATCATTTAAAGTTCTGACACATTATGACCAATGCAACAGGTTGCATTTTCCTGTGGGTGTTTGTTTCATATTATCATGCTTCATATCATAAAGCTCTAAAATAAAACGTTATCGCAGAGTTTGATGTAATTTTGAGTCATATTCAGAAGAAAAGCCCTTTATGGACCGAACAGAATTATGTAGATCTGCCTGCTGCTGCTTGGTCAGTGTGTGTAAATATATTCTCCTAGCACTAAACCCTCACAGATAGAAATAAAGGCGTGTGCTCCCTCATTGGCTGACCAGAATACATGGCTGCATTCTATTGGTCGTCCTGATCAGCTGACAGGATGCTGTTGCTTAGATACATTGTTTCCTACCAAAGCCAACCCTTCTCTGCAGCCTTGCCAATCCAATCAATGTGGCCACAGACTGCTAGCTTAAATCTCATGCTGTATTTCAAACGTGTCTAAATGTGTTGCTTCTCATAAAATCATCATTCTTGTAATTGATTCGAGTGCCTCATTTAAATGATTAAGTGGACTAGTAATGTTTAGATAACTGATGATGTTATCGATACACTTTCTGCATGCAATGAACATGCATTTTGTGAGCGAATGAGTGTCGTGGTCATCAGAAATCAAGTTGTTTGCCTGCAATACGGATTACAGATGCTACACAACACATTTCAGCCTTGTCTTTAAGTATCAGGCAAATTCTAATTCTGGTTTCCGTGGAAACCTCTCAGAGCCAAACAATGGATGAAGGGTAAAGGACAAGTGCGGGATGCCGATCTTTCTTTTGTGGATGCGTGTGTGAGCGAGCATGCAAGAAGGCTTGTGTGCGATATGTGTGCGTGTGTGTGTGTTATGGGGGAGGGAAACATTCTGGACAGGCATAGTTGGGTTCATAATGAGAGCGTACAGTGTGTCATGGGACTACGTGTAAAGAGTGCTCGCATCTCCTTGTACATCAGTCCTCGTTGAGAGCCGGAGACTGCAGGGCATGCAAATCAGGAGTGATTTCAACACCCTCTGCCTCATCTCCTCCACGTATTTCGCCAGATTTTGAGTTTGTTTACTCCTTGTCATATTTCCCTTTCAGCAAATATGCCCATGCGTACCTTTCTTATGAATTCAGCCTTTTTTTTAAAGACTGTGAATGACTGTTTGTAGGCGATAAGACCCACTTGTGATTATTTCTTTATGGAATACTCTTTAAAAAAAAGGTTCTTTATTGATAAGAACGGATAAGAATGTAAAAATGGGTACCTTGAAATGCAACGTAAGTCGCTTTGGATAAAAGCGTCTGCTAAATGTAAATGAAATATTGACATCGATGGTTCAAGAACCTTGCCACTGCACAAATGGTTAGCAGAAAAAGGTTCTTTAGAAAACTAAAAATATATATGATCAATAAGTTATGACAACGTATGTTTTTACATTGCTTTAACTCAATTTACTTAACAAGATTATAAGATTCAACTCATTTTTTAAGTAAGTTTAATGTAAATTAAATTGAAATTACTTAAACATCCAAGTTGA